ACTAGAAGTACGAGCAAGAAATTTGCGTATTGTTCTTTTAAGTAATGAGTGAGAAAGAGGTACCCACGCATACGACTTTGATATATAACTTTTATTCCCAAACATAAAGGAAAAAGTGCAAGAAAATTGTACTCCGAAACACGCTGTATATATATTCAAAGCAACATTAATTCCTATAGATGACAGTTACCTACTACTTTCAGGTGGACCGTTAATTTGTTAGAAAATATTCTCATATTTCTCATCTTATGATCCATTAATATCATTACTTTGTGTCACCCCATTACTAAGAAGAGTAGCGTACGATGTATGAATTATTTATTTACTGGACAAACAAACGTTCGCGTATGACTAATTTACGATATATGTGATGAGAAGCAGCGAATTAAATCTTAGTTTATATATTAACAATTGCATTTTGATTATTCTATGACCGAGTATATGGGACTACCATATACTCGAATAATTTATGGTCAACCGCGCTAACATCTATAGTATTGCACGCCTATGCAATGTAGTTTTATCCAAAATAACAGAATAGAATACAAATCTGAAAATAAATCTTCTTTTTAAACGAAATTCAAAAAGAAGTTTACAATTCTTTTTCATGTGTTTCTTTACAATTTTATTATAGATGATCCCATTTTTGAATTGAAAGTACATATTACTCAGTAGTCCCAGATACACATATACAATAAATTACCTTTTGACAAAATTGCAATAACATATGTTAGTGACCACTCTACTCTTCGAAATTTGAATTTATAAATTAATCAGTATTTTTTTATTCTTGTACAGCTCATTTGAAAAGAATAAGAGCTGAGTTTCTTTTCAGCCCGAAAGCATTCCGTAGTGATGCTAGATTTATCATATGAATATATTATAGATCTACATATATGAATATTATTATTTTGATTTTGATCAAAATCTGACTTGTAATTTTTGAGTTATTCTTAATGATGTGTATATAATTGGGACGACCGAAATGATGTTCTTCTTTTATTATTAATTATATACATTTACATAAATCATTGACTATTTATATATCGATGACCACAACATATTTTTGTTCGGGTCCTGTGTGTAATAGATAAATGTGTAATGGTAGTTGAAATTGTAGCACAAGTACTCTAGACAACAACGAGCTATAACCTAAATTATAAGAGCTTGTCAATACTTTTTAATGTTACCAGTATATATATAAATACTAAAATAAAAATAAAAACGTAAGACAGTACGTTAATATTGCAAAAAAATACTAATCGATCAATATACGAGTAACTACGGTAGCAAAGCTGTCAAAAAATCTTATTAACAACACTAAACTGCCTTGATACATAAAGAATTTCAATTTCAAACGAAAATAAGTTTTATATCAACATATCTTAAGTCTATATCTTCTATAGATAGGGACATCAAAAGAAAGATACATCAGAAACAATGTGGCGTTTCACCCGCGTCGACTTCAAACGATTCTATTCGTCCGCAACACGTAAAGAGCGGCGTCCACTGACGTTCAAATGTCAGTTTACGTCGAGAACATTGAGAATATTGAACTTCCAGTTCAATATTCCACGTGTATTGAACTGAATGGGAAAAACAAAGGTGACATGCTTTCTAATATATCAATATTACGAATATAAAGAGCAAATATTGTTTTTTTTTTTCATCCTCGACGCTAGACTGACTCTACGTCAGTGAAACACGGGACCTAGCAGTTAACTGGTTTATTAAAACATAATTAGCGCTTACTTAACATCATACAACATTAATAGTATATATATATATGTATTATAGGTAATGTAAGGAAGTAAACAAATAGAGTAAAAAGTGTAATATTTATAAAAAAATAGATATAATAATAATAAAGAAAAAAACTGAGATATACAAATACAGAAATAAAACATAAGACAAAAGGATATCGCCACAAAGAAAGCGACATATATTACTTATTTTATTTTTTTACATTCAAAATGTTTTTCCTGATATATCCGTGATCAGTATGATCGCGGATATATCTGGAAAAATATAGCAAAATATAAAAAAAAAATTAAACCACCAATATTATCTTTATTGCCACATGTATGTTTATTTATAATTCGCTTTTGTCAGCGACATTGTCTAGTTTTTTTATTTAAAAGATAGCCTATGTCGGTTCGTCCTGGTAACATAATAAATTAATAAAGATTAAAATTGATTAAGATCTGTTCAAGTTCAAATAATGAAAAATATATATTTATCCTAGATAACCGTGACAGAAAAGGTTATATAACTCTGACCTATAGCTATCTATTAGAGATCTATATAGAGATTCATTTAATAATTGTAATTTTAAATTCACGAAGTCAGGCGGTTCACTAGTTATGTTTTTACAAAACAGATTAAAACACTAAGAAAATAGACGATACGATCGATCTATACAATCATACTCATAAATACAAATAATTGTAGCGTACCAGGAATCGAACCTGCGAACATCAGAGGTAAACAGTGTGCTAAATCGCTAGACCAGCGAGGCCATCATTGTATAAAAACGAGGCTGTAATATATAAAAAATCATTAATGTTCAAGTGGACTGTCTTATACCAAATATATACATAAAAAAATGGGAAATAAAAACCTATGTTTGTCTACGTTCCCCTAAAAGATACATTATGAATTTATCACCTACCATTCTGGAAACTTGCAGATAACTCCTCCAGGGAATTCTTATCATTTCAGATATCTCAACATTTTCGTATATTACCAACCCTTTCATATTCTGTACAATGTTTCAAAAATATCTAGAAGATATTCCCAAGGGCGCGTTCGGTAAAAAAACCCCAAATTTCTACCCATTTAACCTTTTATTGACTTGAGTCTTTGAATTATTTATCATTCGAATCTCTTGGGTCTGGATCAATCATGGCATGACAAAAGACCTTTACATTGAATGTTTTCTCTTCTGCCTAAACGTTTAGAAATATAGGCAGTTGAGACAAAACTTTTAACGCGCGCTGAAATATTTTGTCTCTTTCATCATTACATAGTATAAAACAAAGTTGCTGTCGCTGTCTGTCCGTCCCTATATATGCTTAAATCTTTAAAACTACGCAACGGATTTTGAAGTGGTATTTTTTAATAGACAGAGTGATTCAAGAGGAAGGTTTATATGTATAATACATGTACACCCACATGAAGCCGGGGCGAGTAGCTAGTAAAAAATAAATTAAAAAAGAACAAAATATGCATATTTTTGAGTCACTTTTGATTATTAATCGTTTAAAAAAAGATTTTGTAATGTACATTGAAATTTTGCATGCGTCAATTTTATTATTATTATTGGTAAACAAGCTGACTATGAACTGATGGTAAGTGGTAAACGTCGCATATATATATTATATGAACAGCATTATGGATTATCACGGGACGACCCCGTTACCACTCATACGTTGCCATTGCGTAAGACTGAGATGTTGTTAAATATTTTGGTGAATAAAATTTTGAATAAAGTAATCTATGTGGCTACCTCAGTTTCACATATATCTGCTGCTCACATATCCATACAGTTTTGCCCAGCCATCTAGGTCTATAAAAAAATAAAGATTGCAGAGGGCCCTGCTCCTTAACCGATCTTTGACTTTGCAGTCGAATTTCATAAAGGCTTCATAATACAACTCTCTTAACAATTTTAAAAGTTTTCGCTCTAGACGAAATTGTTGACGAAATTAGGTCCTGACTCGGGGACTATTTGTTTTGTAAGCTAAATTTCTGTTGAAGGATTAGATAAAACAGTAAAGTGGCAGGATAAGAGATATGATATCTTAATTCTCCGGCAACGTATGAGTATATCACAGAAGTTAAATATTAACGTGATGTCCGTAGTGCTGTTCATGATATAGGAGATGACGAGAATAAGCTTGTTTGGCATTCCAATTAAATAAAATACAACAAATAGGATTATAATATAGAGTCATAACTGTATTATATCATAGGCTAATTTTCTTTCAGATATATAAAGTTGATTCTTATCCCATTTTATTTCCAGTCTTACCTATCCTATCGGTCGCGGCCTTTACCCAAAAGTTTTATTAGTATATACAAATTTTGGTTTGAGTATCTTCATTATTATTCTCGTCTAAAACTAATTCCGAATTGAGTAATAGATTTAACTTATCGTAACTCTAATAAGCCGTCATTAAGTATAATGTATAATTTGTTCTTTGGATTTTAACTGCTTTTAAATAATAAACTCCTAGGTATTTCACCTGACTTAATTTTTTAATCGAAACGTATGAAAAGCATTATTAAATACCAGAGGATATAGGTTTTACATCAGCCAATCTAAACGTATAGTTAAAGCAGCAATAGCAGGCTCCTACCAAATTTGGTTTGGCAGAGAGAGAAACAACCTGACTCTACTATTTTAATAGAAACGTATGAAAAGAGTGATAAAATACCAGAGGATGTAGGTGTTTCATCATCGAAATTAAACGTGTATCTAAAAGAGCACTAGCTCTGATCAGATTTGGCTGGTCAAGGAGAAAAATACGAGAGGTCAAATTGTCGACGGACGTTGGCAAATTGGCCCCTTAAACCTAAACCAGAGTCAAAACCCGGCACTCATACGATGAATCCATGGAATGCTAAGTTTGTCTCTGTCTACAAAAACATAGACTATTAAAAAAACTTGGGCTATCGTATTAATAATATGTATATACTGCAACGTTAATAGTATAAAATTGAAAACTCACGATCAACAAATAATACGATGATAATCTCTTGTGTTGCCTCGAAAATTGGAGATACACGATATTCAGTGAAATCCGATCATTGTTGTCTGTAGTGATGTGAACACAATACTAGTCTTTGTATTAATGTTACATAAATTAGGCTAGATTTATTAGAAACGTTACGAGCTGTCCTTGGTCTTAATGTGTTTTTTTTTACTTCCATATTGTTTTCGTGAACTATCTAAACTATGGATTCTCTTTCCATGCTTTCTCCTTCAAATATGGTAGGTAGAAGAGGTTGTATATGAAAAAATAGAGGATACATAAAAATAATAGAACAGAAATACGCTTCACAGATTTTTTACAAATTTTGCTTCCTAACAATTATACACTACAATTTTTTTTAATAATAACAAAATGCTTTAGTATTACAATAAAATACGCTGTAGTTGAAATTTTTGCAAATAATTATTTTTGTATATAATTAGAGGCACTTGAAAATAATAATAGCTTTAATAAAACTATTTTATAGTTGAACTATACAACATTTAATCGCCACATTAAAGCTGGAGTGATTTTTTCACCTTTCACTAGATATAAATAAAATGGTTTACCACTATAAAAACACGAGTTTATCACGAAAATAAATTTAGTTTTAGATTTAGAAATGGCAAACAATAGGTACTTAGTTCTTGATAGAAGATTAATGCACCAGAAATTAAAAGATATTTTAATTTTTTATGTAATGTTTAGAAAAAAGTGCGAAAGAGGATCTATCTTATTTCGCACTTTTCTTGTCTTTTTTATATTTTTAGGTGTTGAAAATTATTATTTTTCTGTTTTTCCCTATTCCATTTGTGTGTTTTATGTAATTTTCGCTTGTGAATTCTTAACTATCAAATATTCTGTTTGTAACTTAAGTTACAGTATAAGTAAAATTCACGAATGGAATTATTTAATGTTATTTAAAATATGTTTTATATTATTAATACTCGTATTATGGTTTTGCAAAATAGATATGTATATATTATAAAATATATTAGTCTAAATTAGTGCATTTTATAGGAATATATTGCATGAAATAGTAATAATGATTCTCACATAATTAAATAAGTCTTGATTAAAGATTTAATTAATTAAATTAAGTCCATAAAAGCTCAATATTCTTTAATTAAATAGTGAAATTTGTCCAAAAGGTATTTTATTAGTAAAAGAAATATTAGAAAAAATATAAAACGTTAAACGTACTCGTATATTGTGTCTTAATTTATTTGATTTAATTTTTAAAATTATTTCAATCACCGTGAGGATTCGAAGTACGTTTTTGGAACTAGTAATATTATAAAATAATTATGTTATAGCTGGATTTATTGATCTTTAACACATAGTTCATTTACAATAATAGTTGCTTAAAATGCGTTTTAAGTATTTGAGAATATTTTGAAAATAGAACTGGATTATGAAAACATTTTTTTAGAAAAAAACAATATAAAAATATAAAACAGAGAATATATTTATAAAAATATAATAACAAAATAAAAGCAAACAATAATTCCTTGAATTTATTAATGCAGTTAGAATAAAGTGATTAGTAAACTATGAAAGCGCATGTCATAGAAAATATAGCAACGCTATCAGTTTATTTTTGATAAATTTATTTAATATATTATATTTTCGTCTCAATTTCAAAACGTTATAAATACACTTTAAATTACAGAAATTGGAGATGCATTCAAATTGACATTACAAGTTTCTTTTAAATTGACGTTTAAAACTGTTTAAAGCAGTATAGTCACACTGCACGATTACTAGATCGAGATTGTTTAATAATTTATGTATGTATGTAATATTAATTTAATTAAAAATATATTATGCTTAAAAAATCTAGATATAATTCTTAGATTCATAATTTGCAGCAATTATAGAGCATAGTACCTACGCATAATTTAATAATAAACAAATACATATTGATTTAAAAAACAATATTACATGCATTTCAACAGAAGACAACTATATTTTTAGCTACAAATAATCTCGAGCTACTAAACAGTACCTAACAATCTACGTAAATCACTTCACATAGAAATATCACACGAGAATCACTGATTGACTGTTTGGCTTTGAATATTTTAATTTACTATTTTGTAATTTAATTTTAATATAAAATGTCTAGTAAGTAAAATTATTAAAGCCATTTATATACATGTTATATAAATGATGTATATATAACTTTTCTTTTAGATAGAATTTGGACAGTTTCTCGAGTCATACACCGTAATTAGTAAACAATTTGAGGACCCATTATTTCAGGCCGATGTTATTGCCCTGAAAGTATCTAAAAAAATCATAATACAATTTGTATAAGACATAGTGAAGCTGTTTGCATAAATGGACAACTTAAAAAAATACTTCGAAAATTGTTTCATTTCTTCACATAAACTGCGCGGTCACCCCATCGATTTATTATAAAAATGCGAAAGGTTTTATTCATATTATTTAGATTTTTCTCTGCTAAAGTCGTGCGAAAACACGAATGCTGATTTTTATAAATATCGCTACATTTCGGATGGTTATTATAATAATATATTTTCCGTTACACCTTCGCATGAAAAAAAAACATTCACTAAAACCTTTTTATGCTTTATCATTATTTTATCTGAACTTTTAAAAATGGAACTCGTAAAATACTGGCAGCAAATATTTTTATTAAAAAGAAACACAATAAAATACGCTTTGAATGTGGAACAAAATAATTTAAAATATTCAACGCCAAAAGAGATATTCGAAATATGAATTATTTTCGACACAAATGTTACACTTCATACTGCTCTGAAATTGTATTTTCTAAAATACTTAGTTTTAAGGCGGCTGGAATCTAAATTATTATTGTTAAAATTTCAGTTCGACGTGTGTTTAGTAAAAAGTGCTGTATAAATTGTTACATTTGTGTTGTTACCTTTGTAAATATTTATTGACTTATTATGAATTCAAATAGAGAATAACTTAAAGGTTTTTACTTGATTTTAAAATGTTTTAAACATAATTATCACTTTTGCTTCGACTAAAAAAAGAAGCAATTGTTGAGAAAACAGTGTAATTGAAAACACTGTTTTTTCTGTGTTACGATATTGTAACTGATTCTGAATATGTTGTTAATTCTTCATACCTTATGAAAGTTGTGATTTGATCTACATACAATATCTTTCATGTTTCTTTAAAAGAATAGAAGTAGTTTTCTTAAATATTTTTTTATTATACAGAATACAGAGAGTACTGGAGTCGAAGTCGATAAACAAAACTATCATCTAACTATTCTCAATTAAACATTTATTACAAATATAATGTATAATCATAATTTATATTGTAAATCACAATCACAGCCAGAAACAATAAGGCCAATGTCAATAAATAACATCATTACATTTACAACCTTATTGCTACTTTAACAGAGTAGATTTTAAATAGTAAAAACCTTTAAGTTGACATGTAGTTACAAGCATTTAGTCCATAGCGTCACAAAGTTAAAGTGGTACCGCTTTGGGCTAACAGATGGCGTTCCTTCAGAACCGGTCCATTTCGCTGGTGGACATGTACATTGACAATTCTGAACCCTCGGAGAACGTCGGCCAGATCCACTTCAGCTTGGAGTACGACTTCCAGAATACTACCCTCATCTTGAGGATCATACAGGTTGGTGAATTTTTTTATATATAAAACATTAGTCATAACCAACGGCGTCGTTTTTATAGTCGCTGTTGTTCGCCCAGTCGAAATTCGACCATAATTAAAATTTAGTAAATTATTACTATTACTACATACAAATAATATTAAAGGCAAACAATATTCATTTATTTTCAGTTCGACCACAGATTTTAACAATAAACAAAAGAGTGTATATACGTGTATGTGAAAGACATGGTAGTGTTTGTTTTTCTTTTTATTTATTTTATGTATTTTTTATGCATAATTAAAAAAAATATTAGCATCCGCGTAATTCTTGTAATATGGGGTACAAAGTTTTTGCTTCACGTATTTATATATTAATGTAGATTAGTAAAAGTTTGACCGATTCTCATAATTTTTTTTGTATATATTCAATAGGTCTGAGTATTTATATACAATTTGTATTGTTATAGGTAAACATTCTATAAATTTATTAATTTTTAAATCATTAAAATAAATGTAATAGAATATACCACTATTTTTTTTATTTACGCCATTTTTTATTGATTATAGGTATTAAAAAAGACAACTCTAAATTTTCACCCACCTACCATTAACCTATTTTAATACCAATATTAGTATTTCAATAATTTTCTACTCTCGACTGTCGATAACTGTTATTCAGATGTATAAGTTATATTACTTTAAAGTTTCATCAAAATCCGTTCAGCAGATTTTGCGTGATAAAGGAACATCCATCCATCCATACTCACCAACTTTCACATTTTATATTATTAAGTAATTACTTATTTAGTTAATATTATTAAGATAGTCAGATACGACAAAACAATTTTCTACGTATAGACTAACTCTTCATATTTATCCTTGCGTACAGTGCATACATTTTTATATAATATCTCAAATTATTATATACCTTTTACTACCATTACAATATTATAGAGTTGGTAGACGTGGATAATCAAGCGAGAGAATTATTATAAAGTAGCTTTACAAATACGAGATACTGTCACAGAGTCATAATTTTCTTTCAATATTACTAAAGTTTATACTTGAAATGAATATAAAACAGATGTATACATTTAATCAAGCATATTATGTAAGCTTACGTCTGTGGTACAATATTTATTTTGAATTTTACAAATATAACAAAGCTGATTATACTTTGGACCTTGCACTAGGAAAAACTGTATTGCGAAAGTCTTGAAAAAAAAAACTATTAGTGCAGATTTTTGAGTAAAGTATATTTAACATATCATAAGAGTCTGCACACACGTATAAAGATATTTTAATTTGATTTGAATTGTAGTACAGTAGTATAGAACCTATTTTTATTTGTAGTTTCTTTAATGTAGGTACTGATATAAAATGATGAACCCTTGCGCTAACGATATACGCTGTTAGGGCACCAGTAGAAGATCAAACGATGAGCATGAAGCCAAGTGAATTAGGCTATCGTGACAAATTTATTTGGAATTAACCACGATGGTTTGATGGAGAGACCGCGTGGGGGTCGACCTGACTTTATTAACTATGACGCCGCGATTCCCCATTACTAAAATCCCTATCCACCTTATTTCAGTTAGAAACGTGAAAAAGTTACTAGAAGGTTTATTCGCATCAAAAATTATACGAATTATTATTGAGAGTACTTTGGTGGTTTAGTGGTTTAGTACAGTGTACTTCTGTTAGTCGCAGGTTCGATTAACAATAGAAATATTAATTTCAAAAATATTACTGTTTTTAATTACCATTGGTGTTATGCTAAACTGCTAGGCTACCGTATATGTCAATCCTGTCTGTCATGCTAATAACAAAATACATTTTGAAATAAACAATGCTTCAAGCAAAATTTATTCAAAACATATGAATTTCATTATGTATTTAAATCATTGGATGTAGGAAACCAATTCGACGGGTGAATTTCTTATACGACGTAGATGTCTACTAAGTAAGAGATTTTGTGAATCTCATGGGAAAAGTAAAAACAGGTATGAAAACCCACACACAGGGAAGTGAAAATCGTACTAAAATAGCGATAAAACCCTTTTTAATCCTTTATTTTCATTTAATAAAGATTAAGGAGGTGAAGCGGAAATTCATTATGTAATAAAATAAATAAGAATTATGTAGGTGTTTTCTATGTATATTATGTATGTATTTAAAAAAAAATCTAAGTATTTATATCAGTGGTCTAGTACCCATAACACAAGCTCTGCTTACCGTGGGACTAGATGGGGCTGTGTTAATTGTCCAGGGTTATTTATTATTACGTATTTTCATTACTATAATCTCAAATAGGATAATCAGACTGTTAACTGTCTCCGCCTTACTTCCGGTGGTCACAGGTTCGATTTGACGCAGTACATTTGTATTCCAGATAAATATTAACAATCATTTATTTTCGTTCACTATGTATATTTTACATTGTTCCCTGGTATCTAAACTTAATAAAAACTTGTATTGTAGATACCATTTCCCTGCTCTTAGAATTTATAATTATTGGAATTACAATTGACCGGAATCATATCCAAAGAAAGAACAAGAAGGTGATGACGCCACGAATATTTAATAAAAAAATTTACGAAAACGATTATTCAAGTAAAGAAATATTTAAATTTAAATTAAAAAGGTGGTTACTCGAAAAAATTGCATTAGTATAAGTTCTATATAATAGTTAAATTGTAAATTAAGTATACGTAAAAATGAGAGTACTTATTCGCCAACAAACAGCCAAGCTGTGTAGCGATAATTGTGAAAATAAATTGTATACATGTAAATCTTATAAATTTATTTGAAAAAAAAATGAGTCAAAATAAGTATAAATTCAATATAACAGACATCTTGTAGTATCAGTATGTGTTGCTTAATAATGTATAATAATCATTAATCTATATTGGTCTGGGTGTTTTCTATGCATACTATGTATGTACCTACAAAAAAATTTTTTGGTACTAGATAGCGCTGTGTAAATTAAATATTTAGTACAAGAAAGAAAATATTCTTCATTTTATTTAAACAACTTAAACTCATCATCATTATCATCAACTGCCTCTTCCTTATTCCATTTATTTGGGATCGGCGTACTATTTTTTTCTCTTCAGTTCACCCCTGTTTGCACACATATCCTTATTTACTTGCTTTCTTACCATATCATCATCACAATATCCGTCCATGTCTTTTCATCTGCCCAATTCATTCAAACTATTGTATGTTATTGTAACAATGTCATATTAAACAATAATACAGAACGGCGCCTGACAATTACATTGTCACGAACGAGTAGGTGTTAATTGTTAAATCAATGTTCTCAGTAAGTTTATAAGTATAGGAATACTTATATTTGATAATATTTGTGTAAACATTGTTTTTAAACGACTGAGATAATCTCTTTGAAAAACTCTACAAAATGTATGTATTATTACAGAAAACCAAGATTGAATCGAATGTAATTTATATATAATCACACAATTCATATTTATTTAAAAATATTATTTAATATATGTTACTATAGTTTAATGTAATAAATTGTGAAAACGTGTTAACACAAACATTAAATGTTTTTGTACCTACATTAATCATTTAATAAGTATCTCATTAAATATATATGTATCTATTAAATCTTCTTAATTTTTCTTAAATTCACAACATTATAAATTCAAAATAACTCAAAGACAGAGTTATTTTCTATTGCGCTTTCACGACAAACTCGATTCCTCGCACGGTACAAACATTTGTATTCATGAGTATGACTGATTGTATCGGTCTTGATGTATTTTTATGTATAATATGTATATATTTACAAAAAAAATGTATTTACGTATTCATATCAATTGACTAGTACCCGTACACACAAGCTCTCCTCGTCCTCTTAAGATATTTTTTTAGTAAATTTATTAATTATTCTATAAAAATCTCTTTAAATATCTATATATTTATAAATATCTCTTAATTTTTTCACAATATAATATGAAGTTATTCGTGTTATATTAAGGTAAATATCTAGAGAAGATAGAACGAAGATCTGATGTTTAATTTCCACTAAGTTATTATGTTGTTCATTCCAATTTTCAGGGGAAGGAACTGCCCGCCAAAGATCTTAGTGGTACCTCCGATCCGTACGTGCGGGTAACCCTGCTGCCAGATAAGAAACACCGACTGGAGACCAAGATCAAGAGGCGCACGCTGAACCCCAGGTGGAATGAAACCTTCTACTTCGAAGGTTTCCCGATACAGAAGCTGCAGAGTCGGGTACTGTATTATTGAAACCCAACTTACTGTTTTCAGTCATATATTTGTCAATGGATGCTGCGTATGGGTCTTTTCACTTCTTATATTATTTCTTTTTAACAAAAATGTAATAGCATATGCTGGTGGTCACTATATACTCCCTAATTTAAATTACAAATGAATCAATATTTCTGTAAACATGTACAAGCTCATTTGAAGATGTACATGGATAAAGTTTTTGATATGACCACGCGTAGTTGTGTACCAAGACTGGGCCTGCTGAAAACACTATAACCTTGGTATAGTATTTGCGAAGGTATTTTTATAAACATGATATTAAATCCTTATACAAATAAATAAGTATTTAATTTTCAACAAAATTGTCCTTTACATTTGATTTCAACACTTTAGGAGATATCTTAGTTTTAATAAAAGAAGAAACTCAAATATTGGGCCTGCGTGAAGCCGAAGCGGATTGCTATTTTATTATTTACCATATAATATATATATTTATTAGATTCTGTTGTAAACGTAAAATCAATGTAGCTACAGTTCAGAAACTCTATATCTGTCTAACATTGTTATAATGACAAAGCTGTAGTTAGTCTTCTTTGTTTGGGGAACAGATATCTCCGGAATAATGAATAATGTATTCGGGGTACCATAACAAAATACGCCGTTTTGAATTCTAAATGAGGTGATTGACATACGGGCTCCTAAATGTCTCGAGGTATGGAAGGACATAAATCAATGGTTTTTCGCGTACTTATAAAGTCTAACATTTCTTGGTCTTGTCGTTAACACGATACTGTTTCACGAACTGATGTAATATATATATAATATAATAATATTGACCCCGGAGAATTCACACCGCGCCATCTAGTCCCAAACTAAGCAAGTGCTTGTGTTATGGGTACAAGACTGATGATATAAATACTTACATAATTTTTTTGTAAATATATACATAATATGCATACCAATATCACCAATCACACTCATATATACGAATATACAACCGTGCACGGAATCAAACCCGAGACCATCGGAAGTAAGACGGTGTACTAAACCGCTACAATACTGGGGCCGTTGAAATTTCAGAAATAATTATTTTTATTGTTACCACAGATAACATAATTTGTTATCAATCTTATATTTTTTATTTTGTTTATTCAGGTTCTCCATCTGCACGTATTCGATTACGACCGGTTCTCAAGAGACGACTCTATTGGTGAAGTATTTCTCCCCTTGTGCCAGGTAAGAGTCGAAAAATTACAGAAAATAAAATTTATAAATAACTACTAAAATATTGGAAAGAAATTAAAATGTCATACTCGTGAACGGGTGCTGCTTATGAGGCCTGATCTGGTCGGGTTACGGACACTGATTAGACTATTTGCTATTGCTATAGTATAAACTGGTGGTCACACTGTTCTCCAAAATTTCACTGTATGTATAATTGTAAATATGTACAACATTTATTTGATAAGATATGAGCTGAGTTTCTTGTCAATTCTTATATCATTGCATTGCTCCAGATCAGTCGGTCAGTCCTGTCAGTATTTATGACGCGAAAGTGTATTGTTTGGATCATGTTGTGATTTGTTTCATTTATTTAGCTGAAAGCAAACACGACATTCAGTGAAAAGCACATTCTATAGGACAAGATGGGACACCATTCCAAAGGACTAAGATGTGATGCCTTTTATTCTGTAATTTAAATTTTATAAAATTTGTTTTAGGTGGTAAAAAGTCCAAAAATAATGGATGGATCTGTTATTGTTCACATACTCGTAATTAGAAATAAGATAGCGAACTTAAAATATTAATAAATAAATATAATAATTTACGAGTAGTACGTTCTTATTTAATTACATTTAATTACAAAACGGATTATACTGAAAAGACACCTACGTAGAATCATATTTAAAAAATTCTTTTCGTCGTCTTTGAGTCCGTGAGATTGTGTGTGTGGGAGTGCTTTTTTGTTGAAATGCCTTTTTCTAATCATCTGATTAGTCTGTAGCTTTATAATTACTGTAGGTACATTTGTATAGAAAAATAACTATATAAAGGTCAACGTCAGTCAGGCGGAAGCCTGCTCAAATTCCTCCCAGTATCAAACTTTCTGTGGCAGATCGAATGAGTATAAAAATGAAAGCGGATTTACATGATTAGCGGTTTTATTGTGGTTCCTGTCTATGACGCTTATTAAATTCATAATACTTCTTTTCTTATTAATAATATTAAAATGTTTTGGTAAATAGCAATTTAGCAATGTCACTTCTTACATCACGGAATGTAGAACAAAGCCTCCTAATTTAAAATACAATTAAGTATTAAAAATAAAAAAGTTTACCAAAAAGGTTTCACAGCACTTTTTATTCATAATATTTTCAAGTTTATGTTTAACCAGCTACTCGCCCCGGCTTCGCATGGGTGTACATATATGAATCACTCTATCTATTGCCAAAAATGCATTAAAATCCGTTAAGTATGATCTAAGCTAATAGATAATTTGCAGAAGCGACATAATTTTATACTATAATATATAAAGATATATTAGAAGAACAAATAATTGCTGACCCTATTTCAAATTAAGAGCAAAGTGTATTAATCTGTTAATCAATATGGACGGTAATATAAAATAAATTACGTTCATAAGCGGCTAAAATGTCTTACATGAATAAATGATTTTTGAATTTGAATTTGAATTTGGAGTTACTAAATACTTAGTCGGAATTAACAAAAAAAAATCTTAAATTTACATAAAACAAAGCACACCTTATATTATTCTAAAGCTTGTAAAGTATTTAATCAAGCATAAAAGAAATACTCGCTAAGAAAGAATAATTATAGGATTTAAACGGAATTAGCGCCTTAAATTCTAAACTGCTAAATTACTTGGAGCGTGAAACTTTTGCTCGGTTATTTTCCGTAGGCGCTTCACAAGTCTTAGTTCAGGTAACGTCTGTTTAAACGTAATTTATATTACGTTTATTGTTATTTATTTCTACCATCATCTTACAAAACCTACGTTTTACTGCTTACCGTAAGCCCTGTAGAGTTCACTCCATTATTTCTCACTATACTAAACAAATCCTGGCTTAATGGATAAAGTTTCTGAATAAAGTGGTATGACTACAATATTTATTTGAAAATAGCAGCAGAGATTTTTTTTATAAAAGTTACACGTACTTTACAACATGTAATATAATAATATATAATAGGCATAGATCTTAATATAATAATATATAAATAGAAAATATCTTATTCGCAGTCCAATAAGCAATCAAATGAATTTAAACTAAACAAGCGAATGTTTATTTTCCCAAAGGATATTAACAGTAACTGTATAATTTCTATCTATTTTATTAATGTCGTCATCATAGTTTCAGTTGATTGTCATAATTTTCATATATAACATTCAATTCTAACTTCAGTCAGTCCGTACATGTAATTAAAAAAAACTATAAGTATAGATATACCTAATTAATATTCAAAATAAATTTGTCTATTGAAAATCATTCAAGTCTTATGTTATCCTTACATTTCAGGTGGACTTAAGCGAAAAGCCATCGTTCTGGAAGGCCCTGAAACCACCGGCGAAGGATAAATGCGGGGAGCTGCTGACGTCACTCTGCTACCACCCCAGCAACAGCGTTCTCACCCTCACCCTGCTGAAGGCAAGGAACCTCAAAGCCAAAGACATTAATGGAAAATCAGGTAAGTTACATAAGACAATTAACAAGCAATTCTTTATATAATATAACATTATAGTCTCTTAGTTATTAAAAGATAACGTAAAAATAAAGGTCTTTCAAGTTTGACATGTAAGTGTATCTGTAAGACTCTTAATGTAATATAGCTCCTAAACGAATTTACCGATTATGATTCATCTTTTTCTTTTAAAATAGCCTTAATTGAGCTGGTTCTTAGCTACCGTTCATTATAGAAGTTGTTGCGCGAAGTTGCGCGAGTAAGCTAGTATTTACTATATACAGCCCTGTGTACGCAAAACACTGCTTTTTACCATACATTATTTAAATGTACATTAAATAATGTATTATTTTATTTACATTTAAATTAATTGGAAATATATTCTAAAAGAAAAGAATTATAAAAATCACCATTATTCATACAATTATGCATTGTGTGCTTCAATAAATTTAACTATTAGCAAATTCAATATTACAACTCCCAGTTCTAGTCACCTACCTACCGTTAAATTACTAAATAATATGGTCTTACTAAAGTTCACAAACGTATCTTGCTACCTGAACACGATCTCTTAGCTACCCTATTTTAAGCTATTTATAGACATTACAATGTATATATTATATGTATATCCAATGCTGCTATGTTATCATAGGGTCGTGATATTTTTACTACTTTAGATGCCTCCACCCTGTCCAATATTTTTATATAATTTACAATAACCATTAGAAACTCCGAACGTAACTTTATACAAAGTGATCTTCGTAGATTATTTTTATTTCATTGGAATGGCGAACAACCTGATGGTAAGTGGTATCGTCATATACATAAACAGCACTACAGACATCACATTAATAAGTTACATCATGCGTTGCACCATAGTCATCCGGTATTCCGGATACCGAATACCGGACGACTATGATGTCATGCCTCTTATCCTGTAATTTCACTACCTTATCTTATCTTTCAATCGCAGATGACTTTTTATAAAGTCTACCTTTGACAGGGTAATTACATAATACAGAGACATGACACCTTTGTCATAAGGAGTGGTATTGTATGCGGGATACCCCTGTGGGTCATAACTTCATTTTGTGATGCCCTATATAATTTAAAAGAGTTGCCTGCTTTTTTGTAAAATACATAAAAATAAAGAAAACTTTACGATGAATTTCATTAACATTATCATTCCACAATTCATTGGACAAGCGAAAATACCAATTTTACTGGCAAATGGAACGAATTTATAGATTCAAATTTCGCAATTAATAAAGTTAGGTACTTACTCATTAATGGAACGTCACTCGAATTTGTTATTTGACGCTTCGCAAAACGCTATTGCAAATTGTGGCTTGTACAAATAATGAACGTTGTGGTGACTCGTTTGTTTTTAGTTGTCTTCTATCTCGTTTCCACTTGTCACTACCATTTAGATTTAGCAGATAATTATGTTTATAGATAAAACAATGATTTATAAATTCTTATAGGTTGTCGTCTTGTGAAATGTATTGATTCTGTACCGTTAAATGTCCAGAAATGTATCTGTCTATGAAATAATTATAATATTTGTGAAATTATTCCGATTCTCTATAAACTGTAATATATCTAAAATCATGTTAATTTAATGTCATTTTGTATTAAGAAATAATTGTTATAAAGGTTCATAATTTCATAGATTTTATACTATACCAAACACTTATTGTTTTGTAATGTTATTATAAAAAATATTGGAAAATAGACAAAAACCTCTTTACACTAATAAATAGTATAAAATACCGTCAAGTTAGAAACCACCGTTTATGTAGTCGGTTAAAACTACATTGCGGCATAGATAATACCACTCGTCTAGTTCACAAACTCATGTTTAATTTATAGTTTTTAATAGAAAACACAAGGTTTTTGCGAAGGGTACTCGCAAGAACAGAAGTTTCAAGAACCATTTCCACAATGACAACAAAGAGTTCAGGACTTGTTTATTAAAAATTGAAGTAGAACTTAAATTGAGTTCACAAGACCATGTCGGAAATAGAAATTAACTGGCCGCTTACTGCGTCTTAGCTTACGCAAATCCGTTATCTCCACTTTCTGCAATAATTTCATGAAATATATTTAATTGGAGGTGAAAGTGAAAAGTGTACAACATGAAATGTGTTTGTAGGTATAATAATTCGCTAGCTGCAAATCGCGGCGTTACTCGTGTTAATATCTTCGTAAAAGTTGGTTATGTACCAAATTTCATTCGAGTATAATCAGTAGTTATATTGTGCGAACAAGTTACAAAGATTCACTTTATATGGTTCACAAAAACTTTGCAGTATTTTAATAATTGTTTGTATTCTTTTTTGAAATAAATATACAGGTAATCTACCTTCGTTTCAAATATCATTAAAATGAAAAGGTGGACCAGACAAACGGGCAGACAAATTTTTGCATTTACTACAAAAACTGTCAAATTTTTAAGAATAAACACATATTTCATCTACGTTATAGTGCATAGATATATATTTTTATAAACTTTATTCATAAGTACTAACTACTTACTAGTATGTTGGTGCAAATAAAATAGGATAGAATTGTTCTTCAAATATAATAGAAATAGCGTCATTTTCGATGTCAACTTAATAAAAAATTATGTGCAAGAAAGAAACTCGTCTGTTGATTTTTTATTATGTAATTAAAATGACAAATAATTCGGTGGCTCAATAGTAAGTGATAACCTTCTCATAGACATGAACAGCGCTACGGACATCACTTTATCATGTGACGCCAACGCTACCTCTCAAGTGTTTCCAGATATAGTATACAAGAGTACTAAGGTGTCATGCCTCTTATCCTGTAATTTCACTTTTTACTTAACCGAAACACAAAGCAAGCTGACGGCTGAAATAAGTGAGATTAAAATACCCAAGCAGACGACTTTTTACAGTCTATATTTTTACAAAGACTAGCTGCTATTAAAAAATAGGGGTTGATGCTAGAAGGGTGAAAATTTAGGGCTGTATGTATTTTTCAATCCTAAATAATAATAAAATGAAAATAAAATATTATGTCAAAAAAAAAATATATATATATTTAGGGGTGGATATCCCTTACCACTTAGGGGTATGAAAAATAGATAGTAGCCGATTCTCAGACCTACTGAATATACCTATAAAATTTCATAAAAATCAATCAAGCCGTTTGGGAGGAGTATAGTAACTAACATTGTAACACGAGAATTTTATATACAAGATTATAAAAATGTTTTTGGGTGAATACAAAAGACACAAGATCAAACATACACAAATAGAATTACGATTGTGCCATTTAAGTTGCCAAGCTCTGGTCAAAACTTGTTCAGATTTACCAATGACACGATAAAGAAGAATTATGTGACAAAATAAATCAGTCGTAATGAACGGAACAGACCAAATATACCTAAGTATATCCTCAAAAACGTTACCGGCTAAAATACGAGTTAATAAACTAAGCCAAGCTGGGGAGAGTCCTTCAAAATTTCGCCTTCTCATCTCCTTAATTTTATCCAACGAGAACTCCGTAAATCACGATAGCGATCCACTGAGGCGTCCTGTTACCAACTACATTACCACTAGTGGTAACTGGACTGTTTGAGTTATTACACGAGATTGTTCGGCATTTTCTCTGGTCTAGCAATTTAGCATACTGCTTTACTTGCGATGGTTGCGAGATCGATTCCTCGCAAGTTACAAACATTTGTATTCATGAGTGATTGTGTGATCGGTATGGGTATTTTCTATGTTGCTATATATATTATGAATATATTTACAAAAAACTATCTATGATATCAGTTGTCTATTACCCTTATCATAAGCTCTGCTTAGCTTGGGCTGTATCCTTTTTTGAATTGTCCTGCGATGTTATTATTATGTATGTATTATTTTGTTCAGATCAGGATATTAGTTTGTGCCTACACTTGTAATATTTCTGTCAATACTCGAGATAACATATATTTAGGTTCAGTGTAAACTCAGACCACGTTACGACTCCGCGTCGAATGTACGCGTTACTAATAAGCCATGTAGCGCACTACCAAATAAACTTACTAATACTACAATTTTTTCACCGGTATACCTACTACCTAAACAAATGAATTATGTAGCGACACCGCGTGATAACTACCGCGCTACAAGTTTATTTCGTACGCCAGTAACCTATTTATTATCTTTACTTTCTCTATCCACCTTTAGGTAGTCTGGAAGAAATTGCTATATATATATATAATAAGACCTCTTTTTGTATCAATTAATATGTATTTACTATTTTAATTATTTTCTATATTTGGTGCAATAAAGAGTATAAATAAGATCCTAATTATTTATATCATAAATAATTCGGAAATACCATGGCTGGAAAGTTATTCCATAGTGCATGAGAAAAAGTTTGTGGAAAGACGTACGGTAGAGAAGTTAAAAAGTTTGTAGGTACGTAAACATAGCTGTAGCTGAATTTGCATTCATAAGAATAATGTAACTGTATTAAAAATAAATAAATAATATTTAGCGGGTACCTTAGGGCCGCTATTATTTGCGTTTATTGTGTTCTTTTGATACAAGCAGCAACAGGAAAGGAGGAGGTGAAATGACCAATCCAGTGATGTCTATTTACATATTTATATTGTAGAAATATTTACAATTGATATATCTACAAGAAAGCGATTCGGTCTCGAATGACAAGCTTGTTATTTCATTCTTCTGTCGTAACTAGGCAACGGTGTTCCTGCGCTATAATAGTAATTCGCCACAAATATAATAAAACAGTTGATACATATTCCATAAACAACTGAACATATTTTTTTATCTTTTCCAGATCCTTACGTAAAAGTATGGCTGCAGTTCGGAGACAAACGCATCGAGAAACGCAAGACAGCTATCTTCAAATGCACACTGAATCCCGTGTTCAACGATTCGTTCTCGTTCAACGTACCCTGGGAGAAGATCAGGGAGTGTTCCTTGGATGTGCAGGTCATGGACTTCGACAATATTGGTCGGAACGAGCTGATTGGCAGAATATTGTTGGCCGGTAACATGTTTTTTTATATTATATCTTCTTATTCGGTATGCTCTTGATAGGACACTCGTAGAGGCACATGTCATCCACCTATCGATACTTCGCCATTTCTCCCTACTGGCTGCCATTCTTGTACACTCGTGGAGTGCACCAGTGGCGAGTGGAATTGAAGTCTGTCAAGATGCAAGATGGACCGATGACATTATAAAGGTGGTGGTGGAGTGGATGGATGCGGAAGGCGGAAGAGCGCACATGATGGAAGTCTTTGAGAAAGGCCTATGTCCAACAGTGGACAGACACAGGCTGATGATGAATGAATGAATAAACAGGATATCCACTATGATAATATTCACGAGATTCCGATATTTCTACGCTTCTTAGTCAACAGTCAATTTAAAATTGTGTTTAAAATATCTTTTAAATAAGCATGCTTTTTAATTAAAACAGACGTTAAAATAACTAATTTTTACTGATTATATACAGTACACTGACTTATTACATACAGTAATAAGTTTTGCAATAACTTATGATAATTAAAAGCCATAGAGTAAGATCCATTGCAAAACTGCTGAAAATATTAGGTATACCTTTTTTAATTATTTTACTTCTTTCTACTAATTTTATCGTTGCTTTGGTTTTAATTAATGAGGTTACATATGTATTATATTTATGAATATATTTTTAGATCAAATACGCATTACCAATTGTATAGCACAAAACTGTGTACTTAGTGCCCAGATTAATTATATGGTTATAATTAATTTAGTCCGCGACGAATGCAACATTATTTAATTTAATTTTCTTACGTACGGTTGTTTTATTTTTCAGGAAAAAATGGTTCCGGCGCAACTGAAACGAAACACTGGCAGGACATGATAACAAAGCCGCGACAGACCATAGTTCAATGGCATCGCCTCAAGCCCGAATAAATAATTATTGTTATTTAAAAAAAAGTAAAGAAAATTTTAACAAAAAAAGTTAATACAAAAACGTCATAAGACTGAGCGGTTAACAAAAATATTAAAGTACAGAAAAAAATGAGAATCTCTACTCTGTCTTCACTGGACTTTGACGATATATGCACGTTATATTATATTTTTTTCTTTCGTTTAAATATGTTTCTTGACGACCAGGATTAATAATTGTCTATAATATTTAAAGAGGTTATTTAGATTTATGATAAATAAATATATATATATTTGTTACTACATATATTGAGAAAAATATTTATTGTATAATAAACGATTATAATAAATGTATAAAAAATACTATTTTTCAAACATTAATTACAAATTCATTATACACTCGTTATTAAACAACATTAATCAAATCCTGGTTGAGCTTTAATGATTTCTGTATATTTATTTATAATAAAACTTATATATTTATATATGTAAAATAAAAATAATTTGATATCGTTTCTTACAATGATTTAGTGTTCAATAGTTTCAGTAACTGTAAAATATTTATTTTCTTTTATTATAATTGTATATTAAAATATATATACGCACGGGCTTTTCCAAAACCCTATAGAAAGGGAAATCATAACCATTCTATATGGAATAAAACATTTCTAACGCCAATATAGGTGTGCACTATCTATGACGAATTTCTCAAACTTGCACTTCACATGATACAAACGAATGCTATCGAAATTTTATTGATTTATTTACAGCGTATATTCTCTATTTTTGTATTCATAATTTTATCAATTACTTAGATAATATATATTAATACATACATAATTACGAAATATATTTACAAAAGAAACTAAGTTGGGATTAACGCCAAATAATATACAATTGTGTAGAAATATAATTAATAGTACATAGTTAATACTATTATTTATTATTTAATATCTCTCAATACATAAAATTGACAATAACACACAAAAAAAAATATCTATTTGAATTTTGATAACATTTCGATAGCGTTTGCAAAAAAAAAATCATTTCATATTTAAACATTGACGTTTTAATATAATGGTTGGAATCGATGTTAAGGTTTTTAATAAATTGTTAGAAATATAAATTAATTGTTAAATCGTAGTGAATATACGAAACAATGTCGAGTTCGCATCGCACAAAGGGTGTAGACATATTATTTTTATTTTTAATCTATAAACTTAGATTTACTAAATGAAAATATTTGATTGACGACTAAAATATGATTTTAAACTGCTCAAAAAAAAACATATTGGAGCGATTTTAAAAACTTTGGTGTTTTCAGATAATTTCTATTATTTTTGTGATGACAAAATAAAAATAATAAAATATTAACTGCCAAATTGTTACTTATACAGTACAGAAAGGAATAAATTATTAAAGTATGTTGATATATGTGTCAAAATATATATTTTGCTTATCATTAAAAGTTCAGACATTCTAAATTAAGTAAGAACGGGACGTGAAAGTGGATGGTCAATTTTAGGTGAGAAGAAAGATGTAAGAAAACAAAGAAAGATTTTTTTTATTTACAGCGAGCAGAGTTAGATTAATTTAATATCAGTCAATAATTATAACTTTTGTTAACGAAGTATTTAAAAATAGTAATATAGTATCGAGATGCTTATTGTTACATGTTTACGATGCTTACATTCAATAACGTAGTTCAATTTGATGTTATTAATGAATGAGTATATAAAATCATCAGAATACAATATATTGTATACATTTATAAAAGTTTTATAGAGTGTAGTTATTATATATACATAGTTGTACCTAAAACCACGTTAAATTGTATATTAAAATAATTGGGCACTTCGTTTGGAAACTACATTAATTTTTTTATTGTTTTTAATTAACCTTTTTAACGATCTGAAATAAAAATATTTATATATCATGGATTAAGGCATAGAAATAAGATGCTATCTACATTGTTTTTCAATTTACAAATTGAATTTTCATTACCGAGTACATACTTATTACTAATGTTCTTGTTTTAATAATATAATATATTATATATGTATTTAATAGCATAATTGTCTAGTGAGAATATGTATACAATACATCACTCACTTATGGTATGAGATATATTCATTTAAAAATATATTTATAAGCATTTTACTATGCCTATACAGTTTATATGATTATTTTATATTTAACTATTTTTATTTTTATTTATGTAACTACTATTCGTTGGTCACCAGTAGCAAATTAAAGTTATGCTAATCTGTAATAAAATCCATGTTTCGACCATTCAATAGTCGATTAATTGGATTAAATAGCATATATTACATTAATTTAGTATATACTTAATTTTTAAGTTACAACAGACTTCAAAACTTTTCGAATCGAATGTTAAAAATAATATAAAAATCTAGCCACTTATAGTGACTAAAATATACTACATGAAAAACAAAGAGTTTGTCTATTTTTTTGTACGTATATATTACGCAAATTATTATCTTTGATTACTGATGATGATGTTGATGATTCTAAAGATTTTGCAGTCGATGAATTTGATGAAATATGTCCATATTATATCGACTAATATTGTTCCAATTAAAATTAGACTTCGTTAAGGGGATAGTCTTATATTTATTTTTCAAATGTTCTTATATTTTGATTGGTTAATAAAAAACCCATTTTTTTTTAATATGTGCTCGAAGTGCCTTGTTGTTTTAATATGCGTAGTTTGTTGTCATAGATGTTAGACAGTTTATGTAAATTAGTTGCAGTAACATCTAATGGAAAGTTACAAATACTGTCACTGAAAATAATTAAATCATTCCTCGTGAATTTATAAAACCCTACAGAGCTTCTAAACCCGATTTTAGAGAAATTTGCCAACAATACAATGGTAATCCAGTAGAGAAATTATAAGATAATAGCTATTTTTAGATCTAGGTTAGTGCGTAATTGGAGCCTTACGATTGGTTTCATCGATACTTCTTGTGTTATATTTATTAGGACAGTATAACAATTTTACTGCTTTTAGCTAGTTTCTGTTGACAGGTAATGTTTAACTATTTTTTCTTATTGAATATTAATATAAATATTATATAATTGTAATCAACATAATGTACTAGTTGTATTGTATAGTTTTATGTAACGAAAGTCAAATTGCGCGAAACGAGACTCACTTGAAAATACTGGTTTGACGTTCCGGTTGTAAAATGTATTTTTTGCGGAATCCATTAAATGCAACGCTTTCGCAAGTATCGATGCAACCAGTTATATATTTAGGACAACTTCAAACCTAACGGTTTACGGTTTACGACAGTCGTCGGTGTGTGGCGGCCTTATGCCCTCGCGATGTTGGCTAGATCTATCATTCATAGTTCACTAAAATATAAAGAATAATAGTTAAAAACTATATTTTTTACTCTCGTGTTTTTGAAGCGTCGGCTTCTTAATTTTGAATCTCCCTTACGAATATTGGTGAACATAGAATGTGCTTTTCTAATTATTTTTGCTATGCGGTTTAATACTTAATTTTACATGTAGATACGCTACGCTTAGTTAGGAACTGTCATTTTGTCATGCATATGAGTTTTGCGTCATTTTTAAATCAATAAAAGCATATCCTGGTGTCGATAAGGGAGTTTTTAAAATAAAAAATATTGTAAGTATAAAAGAAAGGTCAAAAATGAGAGGAATTATTCTATAAATGTACATATTAATAGTGTAACATGCATTGCTGTCATTAAACATTCGACATGAAGAGTATGTATGGAGAGGTTACTTTCAAATGTTTTACCCTTTTGGACTCTCTATTTTGCTCTTTTTTTAACTCTAACTAATAAGGTTTTAAACCGATTCTATCTAGCACAAATATTATTTTTATAATATATTAACGAAATACTAATAAATATTTATTAACCAGCGATTTATTTTATAATAAGTACTCAATTACAATGAAGTCAATGTGATTACTTTTCGAAGCATTGTGATGTACAATATTTGAACATATCAATACATTTTTATTTCAATATATGCCTTTGAGGATATATTTTCATGGAAGTACGTTATTATCATAAATGAGATAGGATATGTATATTTTTTGCTAAACCTAAAACATATTTTTAATACACATAGGAAAGCAAACATAATGTATTTTAATCAATTTGTTTTTATAATCTGTTAGAATTAACAAATTAATTCATAAAGCAGGTCGTTTCTTTATTTTGGTATGTAATTAGTCTACATTTGTCATGAAAATTAATGTCATTTTGTCGTAAAACTCAATAAAAAGTCATGGTTATTCATAATCATTGCATTAATGAATGAATAGTAGATGTCCCCAAATTTTATGAATTGTATATTTTGTGGAATAAATCTTGTAAAATTCTTTATTATAAAAGTATGCTGAATATATTGAAAAACTATAATGTTCGCTTTTGATTCTATTTTATTTATTATATAATTATATACTTAATGTATTATGCTGAAATAAAGCTCTTAATTGAAAATACGGTAACTGAAAATGTAATATTTACAAAAAATTACGACATAATTATTGTACGAACCAGACATTTCGCTTTGGTATTCTGGTGTGTAATTTATTTGTGTAAATTAGATTTTGTAATATATCACTTTAGAGTTTGTTATTATAAATACAATATATTCTAAATATTAATTTACTAGTAAGTTGTGTCAGCAAATATTTATTTATCAGGTTGCTTATATAGCACATTATAGTATGGAATAATACAGTTAAAATAATCATCTTTTACAATATTGGGGCGCCATTGTTTCTTGTACTATCTCATATCAGATATAACGTATGAATCAACAGATATTCTCAATGTATCAAATATATAACATTCATACCACAAAGTGGATACGAAATCGTTTAATATTTAAATTGGGCTTTATATTCGATGTTGATAATTTTAAATGGTAGATAGCTTTTCTTAAAAATATGCAATTTATTTCGATACAAAGATATTTATAAATTATCCAGAAATATCAAGGAAACAACGTCCAATTTGAAAATGCCCATCTTGAGTAGAATTTTACAAATAAAAGTATCTGTTCTACTGAAGTCGACCCCGAAGACTAAATGTTTATAGTTCATAGCGAACCATGGTTTATATTGTTTACTATTAAATGAAATTAAACGTTATACTTCAGACTCTACAACTCTTGTTGCATCCACTATACTTCGTTCTTTTAGCAATACATTCGTAATTGATTCAGTCTCATTTTTTCTTTCTTTATTATTTATATCGAATCAAGTAACAATTAATTGTTAATAATAACTTGAATTTACTGTACTGCCCAATAATCCCGGAAATTATTGAAACAAATACTGGGGGTAAATCTGTCGAATTCTCAGCTCAGATACAAGTCAAGTCAGATACATTGTTTTACTGTTAATGTGTAGAATTGTCAGAATATCAACTCACAAAGTAAGATAAGATCGTGCAAGACTCAACGCAATACTTTTGGTGAAATTGGATACATGTATTCTTCTAGAGAATTATGCAATATTGTAATCCATACGAGTCACCAACTCTCTGTTTATGGTTCAATTCCATATATTCCACAGTATATAGTCGATAGAAATTTTCCCGTTGGAAGCCATGACTCTCTGTTGTATGAGAAGTAAAAATAAATCGGTATGATTACAGCAATTGTGTAATAAATATGTTCTTAAGTAGGTATCGAGTGAAAATTCGTTTTTCAGGGAATGCTTTACTATATATCTTATTCGTATGCTAGATTATTGCATAATTGGACGTTTTTGTATCAAGTACCAACGAAAATTCGCCTCACTCATAACATATTTGGCTGACATTATTTTATTAAAGATTACCGAGGGGGCTATTCTCCAATTTGATTGTTATGTCGAAAGCTTGAAACTTATATTGGCTCAAAAAATACTTAAACGCATTCGGTGTCTATTTCATGCAATACTAATAATTGTATTAAATGTTATAATTAGGACAATTGTGATTTTAATAATATAGTTGATTATATTTTATCGTATAGTTTAATTAAATGGAAAAAAAATAATGTTTTAAAAATATATGTAATATCATGTAAAACTAAGGTTCAATGTCTAGATTTATAGATGAAAAAGTTAAAGTGTATAGACTGTTACGTTAATGGCTAATATTTATTTTATTATAGTGAAAAAGTTTATCAATTTCATTTAATTGGATATATTTCGCTAAATCAATGTTTTATCTAATAATTAGTGTTTTCAAACATTGTTAACAGAACTTGTACTGACAATGTCATGTTTTATGATTATAATACATATATGTTCATGTGTTGGTATATTAAAATTAAAACTATGTTTATAAGTACTAAAACTAAAGCAAAATTGACGTAATATTGTTCTTTATCTAAGTAAAATGTAACTAATAAAATAACTCTCAAGATAAACATTTAAATTATAATATATCGAGAAAGTGCCAAATATCTGCCTTTTATAAGCGATATATCTAATTTTAAAAAATAAGTTATGAATTACTTATAATTCTCTGATAATTCTGCACTCTACTCTGTACTCAAAAACTCACAAATTTTAAATATAAAATTAATGTGCATATTAGCACACAGAAAGCACAGATCTGTAAAGTTTCTTAAGTGTCGGCAACTCACACGTGGTATTTCAAACCTCCATAGGCTGCAGTAACCGTTTACCATCAGATGTATGCTACTTTGCCACCATAGTAGTATAAAAAAAGAAACTTCTATTTAATTTTTTTGACATAAAACAAGACATTGCCAGTTACCCCACGAATTGTTTTTATGTAAATTTTAAATGTTTAGTTGTTAGGTATTTTAGCTGTACGTTTGTATTAAACACGTATTATAAAGTGTTGACAATCATACTGTAACGTGTATTTATTATTATTCCCCAATAAAATATTGAGTTAATTATTTGTCGTTTTATTTCATAACTTAATATTGCCTTTGCTTCCTTTTAAGATTAAAAAAAATAGAAGTAAGATTAAAAAGAAAGTTTTTCAAAAAATGCGCGCGAAAATATCTTGTAAAAAGGTTTCGCGCTGACGTATGCTATTTTTTTAATAAATGCTAATGGAATAAAGGTATAAGTACAGTTTGACAGGATGTAGATGATGTGGTCAATTTTCAACGTACATTACAACTTGTATTATGATTATTACAACCAAAACCAGCAACGGTAAGACTGAAGAACATCTTGAATAGGTTTAGATCGAGCATTTTATTGTTGAAGATTACTTGAAAGACGAAAAACGAATCTCGGCTTATTTTTATCTAAAAAATTATCAACAACCTTGTAGAATAAACAGCATCTCGTGTACCTTTAGTTGGTTTATTAGGATTTAGGAATATCGTCTACACTTGTTGTACCTTCATTTGATGTATATAAATAAAAAACATAATTAGAAATTTTATATTTTTTTATTGAATAACTTTTATATTATTTATTTATTTTACTGTATCAATATCACAACATTACATTAGGCAGGTATTCAAATAAAAAAGCTGGTAAACTTCTAAAAAAACAATCACTTGTCTATGCATTCCACTTTTACCTGGATATCGAATGCACGGCATTCATACTAAACAAAAGATTAGTCATCTATTATCTTTTATATCATTGAATGAACAGGAAATATGAAGCTCTGTTTGAATTTGTTCATTGTAATCCCATTGTTAGTAAATACTAAGGATATACAGTTACTTTTTTTATAACAATTTGGCATAGGTAACGTTTTATGAGACCAAATAATTCACAGATTAAATTAGAAAATATTAAAGAACGCGCCATTTTTTAAATTACAACTGACAACGTAGTTCTGCGTTCAAAAAATCTGTGACGTTTAATTATTTATTATTTATGAGGCTTTAGGTTTCTCCTCTTCTTTCTTCTCTTCTTCTCCTTCTGGTGGAGGCGTGGGGAGTTCGGGGTACTCCAATTTCACTCCATCCTCGCAGGTGAAGATCGGACAGCATCCGGGGAAAGGTGCCGTCTTGTTGGTTTTGTCTGTAAAGAAATATAATATTAAAAAATAACATATTTTAAGTGTTGGTCTAGTAATGGTGGTAAAAATATTGGCTTCAAATACAGTTTGAAATTTTGAGTTAAACAACCGCTCTACTCCCGCGCAGTAGCGGGTTCGATTCCTCCGCACGGTACAAACATTTGTAGTGATTTTTATTATTGTCTGGGTTTTTCTATGTACCTATATATATGTACTTAAAAAATATATTTATATTACTTATCTAGTATCCATAACACAAGCTCTGCTTAGCATGGGACTAGATAGCGCTGTGTGACGTCTCCTATGATATTTATATTAATTTTCGTGGCCGTTAAAAATATAACTCATCATTAAAATGCTCATTCAAATATGCACGAGTTTTTCTTATAAGAAGTCTTACTGTTAAATACGATGGCCACGCGACTTGGTATAAGATTTATTGAAATTTTTTCATGTACAAGTGTAATGTTCAATATTCGTTAGTCTTACGACATCCTTGTGATGATGATATAAATAGACCAAATTAAAACAAATATATTTTATTAAGTTATGTCATAATAACATTCTCGTGATGGCAACACCAATATCAAGCCAACTTAATCCAAAAGAAAGCGATGATAGTCTCTTGCTACGTCAAATTCAAATATAGTCAGTGAAATGTAGGTATATCTAGTATTGCATACACCACAATGTCAACAATTGAGAGAACATCTGTCTACCTCATCTGGGATAATAGTCTTAAAGATATATATTATTGTAGATCTAATTAGCTCTGCTTACCAGTGTCAAGCTTGCACTTGGGGTTGGCAAGTGGCAGTGGACCACAATCTTCGACCAACTCCAAAAGTCTTGGTGGTTGATCTTCACTGACTACGCAGGTGCTTCTGCCGCAGAATGGCGCCAGGTCCCAGGTGTTACCAGGCTCCACGGTCGCACACCGAGTTGAGGCGAAACACATTCCAGGGAAATCTGCAAAAAATAAATGACTACATTAAATCACCACTTTTTTGTTAAGAAATTAGACTGACGATGCCTGATGACACACTTGGTGTAAAGTATTATAGTAACTCACGTATCAGCACTTTTTTATGTAAAGAAACTGGCGGCCCACATGATGTTAAGGGGTAACCGTCACCTATATACATGAACAGCAGTACGGACATCACGTTATCAATTTAGGTATTGTTACACCCGTGATACGACTCATAAATTGCCATTCTTTAAGACTAAAATATTGTGTCTCTGATCCAGTAATTTTACTAATCTGCACCCTACAACCGAAATACAACAAACAAAGCAATCTTTTTAATTTTCCATCTTCAGTACTTTTAAAATTATAGAGATAGGGACATAGACTTTATTTTATTGTACCTATCGATTGCAAAATAATCAACAAAATTGTCAGAGCATACTATTATAGTGTTGCATTCACCACAATTTAGACATTTGACAATTGCTCTGACTATTGACTATTGATTTGATGTAAAACAAATGAAGTTCTCATTTATAATTTTAGCATATATGTATACCTATTAGTTTAATATCTATTGTATTATAGACAAAGTTAATATTTAATAGAATCTAATTAAAAAACTGAATCTTAGTACACATTTTAATTATTTTAAGGTTTTTTTAATATTTAGGCAATGTTACAATGTAATACATACTTATTGCGTACTTTAATACAAGGTTAATAAGGCCGTAATGTTTTAATTATTACAATTAACTTAATTAATGTGTACACATGTGAATGTTTCAAAGTCATGTTTTGGTGTTAAAATATTTAAAAAAAATGTTCTCAATTATATAGTTGTAACTCTAAATATAGTTTTAAAATACAATGAAATTTATTATAATTTAATTAGAGGTTATCACTTTATCTTTTTTTTTTATTAAGGCTACAATATCGAGTTAGTAGTATCATATCTTATCCATGTTGGAATCATGTCAAATTTCTTTCAGCTCCGTTTAGACGAGGAAGCATAACAAAATACAAACATGGATACACTTTCGTGTTTTTAAAACTATATTAATTTTACCGCGGATTTTATGAGTTGTTGATGAAAGTCGTAAAAAGATACCAAACTGTTAGTATTAGAATACGTAATTTAGAAATTAACAGATACATGCACTCTGTAACAAAATAAACAAGAAACGTAAACAAACATTTGTTTTGTACAAATGAACGGCGACTTTCTACCTTTCACTCCAGTAAAAGCGTGAATATTTCCTTGCAAAATGCATTTATTTTAATTTGTTGTTTTCATCACAGTTTTAATTGTAGATTAGTTGCATAGTTATTTACGTAATATAAAGAATCGGTTCCTTTGGCAGTAACCATCTGCCATAGAAAGAGTTTTTGATGGCCTGCATTATACTTTCATCATATTTTATGATAGATTTATAATTAATAAGATTTAGTTTGACCTAACATCGTCGAGATTCTTCTTTTTGTTACCACTTACTAATTAATAATGCAGTTTTAAAAATTGAAACAATTACTATAATTGTGGAATGATTTTGGAACATGTATTTCATAAAACAGTTAATAAAAATTATTTTGAAAATTGCACAAAATAAAGAGATATATCGGCTGACGATTAAAATGTAAAATCATAATTTCCCCATTAACTGTTGTAAACCTGATTTACCCGCATATCTGGCTCATGGTCGTCAACAAAGAATACGTTTAGGAGAATGGATCTAGATACAAAACATCCATTGTTCCCCAAACTTTACCAATGCCTTCTAATTTACTTGCGGATCCTTTAACATATCAGACTCACGACTAAATGGCTAAACGAATGCTAATGAAATTTGATACGAAGATAGGTTTTAAAACAAGAATGTACACAAGAAAATCTAGAAAGGAGTAAAATAGGAGATGAAAATTTATATCAAGAATCAATAGTTTTTACAAGCAATCCGTTACTTATGTTTTATTAATTTTATTTTTTCATATACTAACTAAACTCAAAAATGGGCTGCTCACAATAGTATCTATTTTTAATTGGAAAATGCGGCAATGTTGTGTTAGAAAGAAAGAAGTGTTATGTTACGTTCTCACAACTAAACGGCTATACGGATCCTGATGAAATTTATCATAAAGATAGATTGTTCCACAAGGACCGATCACAGATCTCACAGATAGTGTAATATAAATTTGTAACTAATTAGTATAAATATTCTACAAATACAACGTATTATATACCTACTGAAAAAAACTAAAAACTTAAGTACCTCTTTTTTATAAAGTCGGTTGAAATCAGCATTGAACCAATAGCATAAAATATGAGATAGTACATACAACAATCCGATTGTAACCCACATTCAGACCGTGACAAATTACTAGGCATTTATCTAATGCATTTGTATGAATTACGCGTGTGAAATATTTAACTTAGTTTATATTTTACGCCTTATTATAGTTGTAATTATAATTATTTAATTTATTTTATAGTAGACATTACCTCTGACTTCGTTTACACAAACTTTCGCTCCCTATTTCACCCCCTTTCAAATTAGTTTTTGATATAAAATATAGCCTATGTTTCTCATACAATCTTTGCTCAAATTACATTAAGATCCATTACGGTGTTTAGTTATGTCAAGTATTACAATATTATATATATTTATAGCATTTTTATCTTTAGTACAATATACTTTTATGTATTTACAATATGATGTATAATGTAATATGATGTATATATGTATATATAATAGCATAGGAAACTATCGGGGTTAATCCTGATAGATTCGACACGATGTACTATCGTATATGTACTATGTACTAACCCATGACTTCAGGTTCATTCTGACTTCTTCCATTACTTTTTTGTCATGTAGACGAACCTTTCCCAAATGGTCGAAAAGTGACTATTTTAATTATATCCTAATCTTAATAATATTATAAACGCGAAAGTTTATGAGTGTGAATGGATGTTTGTTACTCTTTCACGCAAAAACTACTGAACGGATTTTGATGAAACTTTACAGTAATATAGCTTATACATCGGTATATATTTTTATTAAAATTTAACACGTGTGAAACCACGGGCACAGCTAGTACATAATATATTAGTGTCCCCGTATACCGTTAGCATTTTCGTTAAAAGAAACTTCCACATAAAAAAATTCAATAAAATTTACATAAAAGCACTCTTAACGTAACATACACAAAGTTATTCAGTTCAATTGCAATCACGGTTTACAACATCGATGTTCTATTACAAAATTGTATCCTTTGCCTCGAATAAGAAATAAAAAAACAAGTACCCTCATCGGCTCATTGCACAATGCATTGCAAAATATGATCCGTCTTTGGATAAGACCAGTGTTGCCAACACGTGGGACGGACGCTGCAATTTAAACGCTTATTTTATTGAGCACGAACTAAAAATGATTTGGGTTCCGCAGCATTACAACTTTTCAATCTATTTCAAAAAGAAGGATTATTACGATATTTTTCGATGAGAATTCTATTTTTAAACTAGTGTTTAATAGTCGTATTAGTAATGATTTTTACAAAGTTAAAAAAAAAATCCAGCGACCTTTTTTAGCATTATTTATTTGCGTGTTCGAGAATTCTATTATATTTTAAAGAAGAATTGATGACATAATTTCATTAAATCGGTATATACAAAAATATCTTATTGATAGATATTTATGGAAACAACTGAAAAATAACTTAAATCTCAATAATCTTATGTTTTACGAACTAACATGTCCCATTAAAAACATGAGCAAATAAACGTTAAATTTATCATCAGCAGTAAACTAAATATTCCAAGTAAAAAGACCAATTTTTTAGAAAGGTACAGCTCATGATTATTATAATTTAGTGGTTATTATAAGTATATATAAATGTGCGGTTTAAAAATACGGCGAATTGTTGACTTGGGTCGCATAATACTAGCGGACCGCAGTTGGTAATGGATCTAGACAGTGCAGTATATACTTTCACTTGATTTTAAAGTCTAAACCGCCTTCCGCATGCAATCGAGTCACGATATGACTTTTTTACCTTATGAACTTATATGTCATTATTCCTCTGCCCGCTTGCAGAATAATTATGAAAGTTACTGTAATACATGCTGGCAATCAAGAAGTTGTAATTAATCGAACAATTTATTGCTGTTTCAAATTAAAGTTTTAATTTCATTCTAAATTTAAATTTCATATATTTTTAAATTTATACGAAACATGGTACGTTTATATTTACTCCCAATTGCTACGATATGAAATGAAAACACTATATTACACATAAAATCCGTTCAGTACTTTTGACATGATTGAGTAACAAACATACAAACATCCATCCATTCCATACACACGTTTATAATATTAGTAAGAATATATGCATATAAAAAGACATCATAATGAACAAGACAAAGACATATCAATAGACTGCTTTGTCGCCGAGTTGTTATTCAGCGATAGAGCTGCCTATTTCAGGTAACCTTTGGTTCGAAAGGAGTTACTTGTTTTGTTACTTGTCGAGGTGTACTAAATAATAGATGTAGTAAAACATTATGACAATGATATAAGTATATTTCTTCATTATACTATTAATAGTTGAAGCAAAAACTTTGTACCCCCTTTTAGGAAAATTATGCGGACGAGGAAGTATATAATTTGGCACAGTTAATGTTTATATGTATATATTGATTGGATTGATAGCTGGTATTTTTATATTTAATTAATAAAAAGAAGACATAATACAAACGCTAAATGTGTTAGACGTAGACATACACATCGACAGATAATCTTAATAACGTTCAAATAGAATTTAAATTCTTTACGATCTAATCTGACCACAAAGCGACCAATGGTATAAACAACAATACATCATCTAATTCTAATATATACGTAATTGCATTTAGCATGATAATCATACATTGCATAACTGTATGACACATGCATAATTAGTTCTGCTAAATATTCAGTGAGCGAGCTATGGACACTGAACA